GATTCACATCAGTTTAAAACTGGTGTTACCTGGGAAAGCTATAAGCTGCAGTTTAGATTTAACTCTAACTCTTCAGTGAATATTCAGGCAAGATATAGAAACTGGCCCATTTTAGAAACAGTTGCTATTCATTAATAGCAACATGTGCACATAGTTCTTCTGAAGCGTATGAGAGAGTCATTCTAAAGAGCAAATGCCACACACTGACATGTGTTCTAGGTCAATCTGTCAGTGCCAGAGATGGGTTAAGAACCTACTTCACCTAGACAATCTCAATTTGTTGTGTGGTAATGAAATTCTCTAGAAGCACTCAGTTACAGGGAAAGCATCTTTTCCATGTAGTTTCATCTACATGTCAGTTTAGCAAATATTCAGAAGGAGAGGGTGTTTCTTCCATCTTTCCTTTGATCCTTCTTGCAGTATACTACATAACTGAGAAATACCACCATGAAGCTAGTAGCAGACCAAAACCTGCTTTCAGCAGCTGCCAATTGTGAAAAATACTTTCTTGTAGAAAGTGAAGGCCTCCATACCAAATTCCAGGGCAAGTTTTGTCCTAACTCTCATGCAACAAGATAACCACAAACTCCTTGCAGACTGGAACCATTTAGAGACTATGAATTCTCTGGATGTGTTGGGAAATAGTGGACTGAATTTTTGAAGTTTCACGAACACAAGTTTAATAATTCACTCTTCAGAGTCAAGCTCCAGTAGTGCAAGCCCATATCTATAGACTCAGACTCACTGCCATGGCACCTAGTTCCTTTGAAGATTTAAGATGTGATTTTCGAAGTAATTTACACATTTAGGCCAGATTTGTAGAAGTTCTTAGCACCTAGTAGCTTCCATTTTTCTTAATGGGCGCTTCCATGTGAGCACTTCTGAAAATCTGGTCATTACTAACCCTCAACACATCATTCTGAGGAAATACAAAAATAGTAAGACAGAGTATGCTGTGTCTGAAATATTTATCTACCAGTAGGGCAATTATTGCTGTCAAAAAAGAGATGTGGTTCAATAGGACAAGAGCTACTTTTAGTAAAGAGAGTCTCTCACCTGTAATTTTAGATCATGAAATCTAGTTATAGATCATACTCTGTTTTCCTCCAAAAATGTGGACTCTTCCAGGTAGATTGAATTAGATTCAAACTATCCAAGTGAAGTGAACAGTAAAGGTCAAAAAAAATTGAAAGGTGAGCTTTAAAACAACAAGACTGAGTTTTCTGGCTGATACATTTCAGACTT